CACAATTTTTATCTTGCTGGGATCGGTTCGAACTCCATCTGAAGATACCACATGTCCCAAATAGTCAACTTCTTTAGAAAATAATCTGCACTTTTTAACGTTCAGCTTTAAATTTGCCACCCGAAGTCTTGTGAAGATCTCCCGTAAGTTTTCGACGTGTTGATCAAATGTTCTTCCTAGAACAATTATGTCGTCTAAATAGACAAGACAGGTTTTCCAGTTAAGACCTTGCAATACACATTCCATCAGTCGCTCGAATGTAGCTGGTGCATTGCACAATCCAAATGGCATGACGATGAATTGCCACAACCCCGATCCGATAGAAAACGCTGTCTTTTCGCGATCGTTCTTGTCGATTTCTACTTGCCAGTATCCGCTTTTCAAATCAAGCGTAGAGAACCAACTTGAGCCAGATAGGGTGTCCATGATGTCATCAATCCTCGGTAACGGATAGCTGTCATTTTTAGTCACATCATTTAACTTCCTATAATCAACGCAAAAACGGTTAGTGCCGTCCTTCTTCTTTACCAAAACAACTGGCGAAATCCAGGGACTTGATGACGATTCGATGACGCCTTGATTCTGCATTGTCGTTATCATTTCGTTTACTTTTGTTTGTTTTGCTAGAGGAAGACGTCGTGGTACTTGTCGGATCGGTTTCGAATCCTGAGTATCAATTCGGTGAGTTACCAGAGCTGTTTTACCTTGGTCATTGTCACCGGTTGAAAACACTTCTGCAAAATCGGCATCAACGCCTCGGCTTTTAAACGGTTTTCTTGATACAAATTGAGTTCATCCAGTAGATTTTTGGTAAGTTCTTTGAGTCTACCTTTGTCAGTTGGTAGAACCTGTTCCTGTTGCTCCATATCTAATGATTTCACCAAATTTATTGATTGGCAATTACCTATTTCCTCGCCTTTTTTAATTTTAATAGTGTGTTTAGCGGTATTCATTATTCTGACAGGAATAAGATCATTTTTGTTCGCTTCTACCAGGCATTTTCCAATGACCGCGTTCTGTACATTTGTTGTTGAGGTTGGCTCCATCAAATAGAACTGGTGGCCCCAAGGATCGCAATTCAACTTGCCCCATACGATGTTTTCAGATGATTGAGGTAGTTCTAAGTCACAATCGACTGTCACTCGAATGCATTTTTCGTCGCTATCCCCCATTATCACTTTTGTATTTCTCCATCTAAAAATGCGTTTTTCTAAGTCAATTTTGAACCCATATTCTGTCAGAAAGTCGACACCTATTATGCATTCGTCGATGATATCCGCGACTAATAATGAACCTTCGAATAACAAGTCGCTTAGCTGAACAGTACGGAGAATCTATCGCTATGACAACGTCAACAAACAAATCAAATATCGCTTTAAATAATTCACCGAATCGCTATTCACGAAATCACAAAATCACGAATTTCACTAATCACGAATCTTCTTGCGACGTGCGCTTATATAGGGTAGCATGGGGCAAAAAGCCACCTCTAACGTTTGGCGGTTGACCACACCCAACAACTCGAACATTTTTTAAAGTTTAATGTTGCCTTAGCTAGATTGGTATGTCCACTACCTAATTCTACAATTTAAATTATTCAAAAATACAGTTTCTGTGTTTTATGAGGAAAACTATAGAGGTCTATCAAAAGAGCTTCTTGCCCCATACCTGGGGCAAAAGGCCTAAATTAAGAAATTAACAAAACAAGCTGTGATTACAATGGTTATAGCTTTAATAGAAA